GGAATTGAAATTGTATTTATTTAATAAAACACTTCCAGGCCGCACTCAGCCTGTAGCTGTCAGAGCGATTGAATTTATTTCTGTTCCTCTCAATTTCAATGGATTTTCTAATTAGTCTTGGCCAGTAATAATTAGTTTTACACAACACTTCAACGTTATCAAAATCAATTGAGTGTCCTTGTTGACAAGCATGCTCTGCCACTGCCGACAGTTGTGTTTGAGATAATGTAATGTTTCTTTTGGTGTTCTTTTAATCTTACGCTGATGTTACGTCCCGTCTGTCCAATATAGCATCTGCCACATAAACAATTAATCCGATATACACCTTCTGTTGATAATTTAGGCAATTCGTCTTTAGTGCCAGATACCAGTTTTTTAATTTTGTGCGCTGTACCAAATCTTACTTTAATGTTTTGCTTTTTCAAAACCCGGGCTAATTTGTCAGTTACTCCTGAGATGTATGGTATTTTGATTGTTTGAACAATCTTATCGCTTTCAGCAGTGTTGCTTTGCGTTCGTGATTTGGCCTTCAGTGCTCTGTTAATTTGAGCATTATTGTAGCCATTCTGTCTTAGTGCTTCTTTAACATGTTTCATCTCTCTCACTAGAGAATCAACAGCATTTTGAAATTTGAGTACGACGTTAAAACAGTGTCAGATGGTGAGAGTGCACAAAATAAAAAAAAAACTGGTATCTGGCACTAAAGAGGAATTGCCTAAATTATCAACAGAAGGTGTATATCGGATTAATTGTTTATGTGGCAGATGCTATATTGGGCAGACGGGACGTAACATCAGCGTAAGATTAAAAGAACACCAAAGAAACATTAAAGTATCTCAAACACAACTGTCGGCAGTGGCAGAGCATGCTTGTCAACAAGGACACTCAATTGATTTTGATAACGTTGAAGTGTTGAGCAAAACTAATTACTACTGGCCAAGACAAATTAGAAAATCCATTGAAATTGAGAGAAACAGAAATAACTTCAATCGCTCTGACAGCTTCAGGCTTAGTGTGGCCTGGAAGCGTATTATTAAATAAATACAACTACAATTCCTTATAAGGGAAACAAATACCAATGAATAACAATTGATTGATTACCAATCTATATAATTATAATACCCTCCCCCTCTTTGCCTCGAATCACTGCACCAGATTTAATTGAATTAAATGATGACGTCACTCTGATGCTGCTCTATTTAAGACCGGATGCAACAGGAAAGCTTCACCATTCTTGCCCGATGAAGCTGATTGTAATTGTCAGCGAAACGTCTTAGCCAAATTTCAAAATTCTGTTGGTTCTCTCTTCGGCACACTGGTGGGCTAAAGAAGTGAATTATTTTGTCCTTTGAAAAACGTGACACATTTTTTATTGTTTGGCCGTGTCGGGTGGTGGAGGGTTACGACACATTTATAAATAACGCGATATGACCCAAAAACCTATTATGAATACTATTGGTCGCGAAAGCCTATGTGTTAAATTTATGTCATCCAAATGGCAAGAAATGTATCTTCTCAGCCTCCTCTACATGTCAAGGTAACTACCACCACAGCAATGTGGCATCGAAAAGAAAACACATCACGGTGGTGAATTATGTGCTATACGGGATGACTATGGCGCCGTGGCGTCGGCTATTACACACGATGTCCTTTCAAGGCTGTGCTGCTGAGAAATGCGTTGAGCTTTTCGTTTCAGAAAGGGGCAGCAGCGCATGCACGTGGAAGGGAATCGCGGAACATTTCATCACATCATTGGAGAATGTAGGGAGCACAAATCACGCGTCGATCGTGTGCTTCAGACTGCTCAAGTGCGTTCAATATTGCCTGATGGGAGGTGACCGTCGTCACGAGGATGCGGGCTGGCACACCTGGCTTTAAGGTCAGACGTCACGTGCTCCGCACAGCACGCGGAACGAGACGTCGGGCACATTGCCGAAGAACGCGCGGCACGGCTTCAAAGCGAACACGTGAACAAAGACTCGGGGGGTGACTCGCTCAATCGTGGCCTGACGAAAGACTGAAGAAAAAAAACAGTAGCATCTTGAATTATATAAAGCTCAACTGGCTCGAGAGTAATTTTGTTTTGTTTTTCCACAGCAACTCGTGGATCGATGCGAATCGTGAGAAATTAATGGCGCTGACAAAAAGTAAACGGAAGCTTTTGAGATTCGGCACTGCAAAAGACTCTGCCGTATCTTCGAGATGGAAAAGAAGACGAATGTCCGTGTCAGAAATATTACGGGAGAGAAGCAGACCGCGGCGTTAGAAATCAACCCATCCGTAGACGAATGGGACTCTGGGACATGGCTGGTGTAGAGACAGACATGGCCCTGGTATGTGGTTGTGGTGGATAATCGGCAGCAGGGGACGATTGGCGGCGAGGAGACGGATTTGGGTGGTGCGTGACAGATCACTGGGCGCTCAGCTGCCTGATACAGGGACCCCTCGACTTTCGAACGAGTTAGGTTCCAGAGGTCTGTTCGTAAGTCGATTTGTTCGTAAGTCCAACTTTGCTCCTGTCGATTCCGAACATGTTGTATGACGTGTACACTAAACACAGGGAATGGCTTTAATAGTTGTGCAATCTTCTGTAGATGTAGATGCCACTGGTTCTTCATGTTCTGCAGATGTAGGTGCCACTGGTTCTTCACATTATGTAGTTGTAGATTCCACCACCACCATCTGTTGCACGGCGGTTGACCTTACGACTCTCGGTCCGAACAGGTAACTGGACAAACGGACAGGTTTGTTCGTACCTCTGAGTAAGTTGAATGTTCCTAAGTAGAAGAGTCCATGTCATCGAAGCGAGTGATGGATCGAGAAGGCTTCCAAATATTACGCTACGACGCCACCAAATATTCTGAAGCGGAGAAATGGCTTACGGTGCATTACGTTCCCATCAAAGACAAACCGACGATGACGTTAAAATAAAGTTCTCATATTTCATGGCCTACAATGACGAGGGAGCTGCCCTTGCATAACGGTTAGCACTCGCAAATCCAGAGGTTCGCCGGAAGTTTCAACAATGGCACAGGTTTCTCAAATCCCCCCCCCCCTCCTCCGATTGCTTCTGTCCACCCAGTGGTATGAATTGGCTCACCGCAGTTAGTCGATCGGCAGGTCGCCTTCCGATGATCATTATTAATGAGTTTATTTTAATTTAATTCCACCGGTCGTTCATCCAGTTGAGACCCTTTCCCCGGTTAAGTCGCAGGATCAACGCCTTCCCATTTTCCTCCACGCCGCGTGTGTCGCCGGCTCTCCGAGTGTTTGTTGTGATTCTCACCCCGATTGTGGTTCTGAAGTTTTCGCTCTCCTGCATCCCCCCATATCTTGCTGCAATAAACTTCTCCCACCCTCCTTTGCCGAAAGCAAACAAAAATCCAATATCCCTCCTTTTAGCCATCATCTCACAATAACCCGAGTCTTCCTTCATGAGCAGCATCCCGGCGGTGTTGTTTTTTATTCATGATACTTTGTCATGGCTGCATTTTCGTCGATCGTCAGGTCGCACGAGGTGGGGTAAGGCGTGGCAACGTTAACCCCTGCCAGCACGTCTGGCCAACGTGGAAGAGTAGACCAAGCACCCTCTCGAGTTCCCTCCCGTGGAGGCTCTTTTGCCAGTACTCACGCGAGTAAGCAATTGCAGGGCTGCACCTTTACCTGTGCTAAAGGAGGTGATCGCAGGGGGGGGAATTGTGACATCGCAGGACCGCAACGGAAGGCGGCAAGTTGTAGACAGTCCTCATCGAGCAGTAGATTCATCGTGGCTGATGCCGATGGTGATTCACTAGAGGAGCGGAAAAATGAGCTACATCGTGCAAGGCAGCGAGCGCCATTAAAGTAATCGAATGACCGACAAGTGAGCTGCTAGCATGAGTGAGTTGGCAAATTGAGAATAATGCACCCGGCTGAATGTGCAACCCAAACGGGGGGAGGGTGTGGGTGGGGCAGAGGTGGGTCGTGTGGGTTGTGTGGGTGGGGCGGAGGTGGGTGGTGTGGGTGGTGTGGGTGTGGCACAGGTTTGTGGTGTGGGTGGTGTGAGTGGGTCACAAGTTGGTGGTGTGGGTGGTGTAGGTGGGGCGGAGGTGGGTGGTGTGGGTGGGGGATGATGCCTTGCACGGCGTACAATGGCAAAACTGTTCCTGTGCGGCTCGTACGGGCAAAAGCGAGCGGTGTGCATCATTTTTGTTCCTTGCCCCCCGTTGCCAAAATACAGACCTCAAATTGGCAATGCAATTCGGACGGCAATCTTCACGTGACCGCCGCAGCTGAGAAGAGGCCGCATGGCCCGTAAAGGAGGCAAGGCTTCGCCACGTGGGGTTATCGTTTGTGGTGTCTCCCTCCGAACGTGCGCGATTGTGGGGAGAGGTGGCAGCGTGCAGCTTGCTCCGAACCCGGCGAACCCGAAATAATTCGATGACTGGCCACGGCTAACGTCAGTGGCGAGTGATTTCTGAACCGTATCCAATGCGCCTCGAAACTTCACCGACCCAATTTTTCATCATTTTTGATACTGGAAAAAAAGAAGAATCCCATTGATATGACTGCTCGTCCCGAGCTACGAGTGGTTCTGACAATTGCATTGTCTTTTCGACTGTTCGCCTTGTGGCGTTCTCTGGTCGAACACTGGTGGTGAGACAAGGACATAAAGAAGGGTGTTTCTGGTGTAGGCCAATCAGTTTCAAAGACAATGCATACATTACACTGTGTAACATTTTTTTCTTGTTCCTGGATAGCAAGTGTTATTTCATAATTGCTTATGCCTCAAAATTACAGAAAACTGCTATTATTTCCTGCAAACTTTGCTTTTGTGACCAGGACAGTGATATTTTGAAATGTACCTAGTTTCCGGAACATTCCAGAGACAGTTAGTACTGAGTAAACTTGGAGTAACTTCTCGAACATTGTAGAACCTTCCAGTAATTTAAATAGTAGTATAAATACAGGGGCCTAAAGCCCACCTGTTCAGTTTAGTTCCAGCTGCCTAAGTGGATACATATCTGCATTTTTCTGAGATGGCATCAAGAGGCTGCAAGCATCCGGCAGAGGCATTTTGCTATGTCTGCAGCCAATTTATCAAGACAAGAACGAAAAAGTGCCCTGTGGAAGCATCTGCTAAGATGTGTGAAGCCTACAAGGCATATTTCAGCATGCCTGTTGGGGATCAAGACAAACCCTGGGCACCTCATTTCACCTGCGAGCAACGCAAAAAACTCTGGAAGGTAAGATGGACAATCGTTGATCGGAATTTTACGTGAACATAAATTGTTAAAAGTTTTAAAATTGTAAAAGTTTTACATTTTAAAATGTTTTACACTTTTCAATGTTATTGAAAAAAATATATCATGTGAATGATGTTGCGAGAATCTATTACACATTAGTCATGGGTGAAATAAATGTATTTTTGTAGGATGGTATAGAGTGGAAAAGAGAGCCATGAAGTTCGCTACCCCAAGAATTTGGCAGGAACCCATTGACCACTCAACCAACTGCTACTTCTGCATGATGGACCCTTCCAAACGTCGGACTGGCAAGAATGCACCTGCTATCACGTATCCGGACCTTCCTTCATCCCATGCCCCAGTGCCACACTGCCATGAGCTCCCCGTATCCACTCCTCCGGAGAGAGAGCAGCCGTCTTTAGAAGAGATCAGCATGTCAGAGAGCGAGGAAGACATTGCAGATCCAGATGGCAATTTCAGAGGTGGAGCAGAGGAGAGAAACCCTATACTACCCCAACCAAAAAGACCTCAACTACTTGATCAGAGATCTTGGTCTCACCAAGTACAATGCCGAGCTTTTGACATCTAGGCTCAAGCAGTGGAACTTGTTGGATGAAAGTGTGCAAGTCGCCATTCAGAGGAAGCGTCACCAACCTTTTTGCAGCTTCTTCACCCGTCAAGATGGGCTCTGCTTCTGCCACAATGTGACCAGTCTGTTCGAAGCAATCGGAATCGCCGAAAAACAGAATGAGTGGCGCCTCTTCATTGACAGCTCATCCAGGAGCCTCAAAGCCGTGCTGCAACATCATGGAAACAAGTACCCGTCTCTTCCCCTGGCTCACTCTGTGCACCTCAAAGAGGATTACAACAGCAACAAGATCTTGCTGGACGCCTTGAAGTATGATGAGTACAGCTGGGAGGTCATCGAAAACTTCTAAATGGTGGCATTGCTGATGGGTCTGCGTGGCGGTTTTACCAAGTTTCCCTGCCATCTTTGCCTTATGTTGTTTTTTCTGACGTTACGTGAACGAAAATACACAAATTCGCCCGTCTTCTCATTGAAAATAGGTAAATTTCAAAATATCACTGTCCTGATCACAAAAGCGAAGTTTTTGGGGATTAAAAGCCATTTCGATACTTTTTAGGCATAAAAAATTACGAAATAACACTTACTACCCAGGAACAAAAATTGTGTTACATAGCGTTATCAGAGCATGCTTGTTTGCACGTTTCGCCACATGTACGCGTGGTTAATGCACACTTGACACCTTGCCAAAGGTGTTTGAACAACTTAAAACTTTCTCTTTGGTTCTTTCGGTAAAGTCACGTAGAAAGAAAATAAATGAAATAATAGAATACGCCGTTTCGATTGCAACACAAGTAATCGTCATCATGTTAGAACTAAATTTGAGAGAGAGACAAAACACAGACACGGAGACACACAGACAGATACACAAGCAGAGAGAGATAACACAGAGATACACAACATAGACACACAGAGACCCAATGCCTCTGTGTCGAGGCCTTGAATAGAGAGAGGGGGGGGGGATCAGAGAGGGTCAGAGAAATCTATTATTTATAAATTAAATAATAGCTTTCCACACAGAACCAAAGAGTAATTCCTGCAGTCACGAAAGCTTCGAATCAAATCTTGACACTTGTTATATGGCCGGAAAGGGTAAAACCTATTCTCAAACAGCCAGCAGGACTGACACGGCGTGCGGGAGGGCTGCATCCAGCAGTGAAAATTAATGTTGGAAACGGCAGTCACATTTGCAAATGTGATTTGTAACTTTGATCATTACCTGGTTATCGATAGTTTAATCTTAATGAGCCGTTTTATTAAGGGACTACTGCTGCGTGGCGTTATCTCAGGTGTGGTCTGGGATTGTGTTGCTGTTATTGTTTTGCTGCCTTGCCCAAGCTTGATAAATCGGACTTATATACAGGGACTCTTCTTCTTACGAACATTAGACTTACGAACTTTCAGAGATATGAACAAACCTGTCCGGATGTCCAGTTGCCTGTTCGGATCGAGAGTCCGTAAGTTGAATCGCCGCGTAATAGATGGCGGTGGTGGCATCTACATCTGCAGAACATGAACAAACAGTGGCATCTACATCTACAGGAGATTAAGTGTACATGCCGTACATCGCGTTTGGAATCGACAGGAGTAAAGTTGGACTTCCGAACAAATCGACTTACGAACAAACCTCTGGAACCTAACTCGTTCGTAAGTAGAGGAGTGCCTGTAATGTAAGTGATATATTTATATTTAGTGACTTGCTTTCCGTTTTCTCTATTTTGCATTCCTATCGTGTCTTTATATTGTTTGCTGTTGTAACTCGCTGACTCGCCCACACTGGACGTCTGTGAAAAAATGTCTTCATATCTAAATTAAGATTCTGATTCTGAGTGGATTAACGATAGGCTGAAATTATAATTAATTGTCATAGCTCAAAGTGCCCGTCGGTCACGGTGAAGCAGTGGGCCTCGTCCGTGAGTGCGTCCACCGAGGAGACGGAACGGTGGATCGTTACTTTGCAGGATCGTGAGAGGTGGTGGCTGCCGTGGCGGCTTGGCCAGAGTTTCATCCAGCAAGTAGATTGTGCGTGGCAGATGATGATGATGACGACGTTGATGATGGTTATTGTTTGCTCACATTATTTATGGAAGCCCACGAATAAAAGTGTCCCAGTAATTTGACCACGCACTGCCAATACACTGCATTCGGGTGACACTGAGTGTCAAAGAATGACGTTAATAGCAACAGAACACTTTGTTAATGAGGAGATGACGATGACTTAAGCGTGCATCGTGCCAGTAGACGGCACATGCCTTTCAATAACTCACACAACGACGAAGGCGGCGGCAGCACTTCATGGCTCGCAGGCAACCAGTCACCTCATAATTCGCATTTTTTTACCATTCAAGTTTTAATTATAGGTTTTTTTTAAAGGAAACTCAATGGGAGACATTTTAAAAAATGCTTTCTCATAATTACTGCAGGGAGGGCCTTCTTCCCCTGTCGCTTCGTTATTAGGATCGCAGTGATGCAAACTTGCTGCGGGTTTATCAACAACATCCAAGCAAATTCCTGGCATTGTTTAACTTTCGGGGTTCCACATTTTCGCTCCGTCGTGTTCATAAGGAGAAGAAAAGACCACCAGCACACACACAAAGGACTTGCGTTCCCCCACCCCCCACCCCCCGTACAAAGAAAACCGACACATATTGAGTGCGAGTCTAATATTGATCAGACAACACAGGGCCAGGGTGATTTATTGAACAAAAACACAAAGGCATGGCCGTGAACACGGCGAGTTTTTTTTCTTCTTTTAGGATGCCACGCGGCACAACATTATTCGCCTCACGCCGCGTTTATCGGAAGCGAATATTTGATTTGCGTCGCGTGATTTTTGTATATTTTCGGCGCCGCGGTTGGCGAGGGGGTTCTTCCGTGTATCGATCCGATCAGTTTATGATTTGCAAGCGGTGAAAGAAGTGCGGCTCGCGAACGGTTGCATTCCGGTTTTACATGCATTTTGGAGGGATTACAGTCATTATGGTGAAACGAATTCATTCGCAGCGTTCATTATTTTTATTAGCAGTATTTGGTCTCGCCGATGCGCACAACTGGGGCGGATATCGAGCCACTGGGCGTCGAAACTAAACGGCTGCACAAATCCCATCTCTCTATAACCAGCGGGCCACAGTGCGCGTCCGTCATCTGTTCTATCCTGGCATCTGTTTTTTTTTTTTCACAGACCCTACGACCTCTCACTGCCTGCATTTTTTTAAAACACCTTTTCAACAATTGGATCCCCGTTTGTGGGGATACGCTATCGGCACCGCGCTACGAGATGAATTACCCCGTTCGGAATTATCATGGGAGCAGTGCGAGAGAATGACCCGCAGGAAGTGGATGTGACGGAGCTAGCCCAGAGATCCCTGCCACTGGCTGCGCATCTACACAATGGGGGGGGGGGGGGGGGGGGAGTAGCACTTCACCGTCCGCCGTGCAAAAGAAAAATGTCCGTTGCATGTTAGTCAAACCGATCTTAATTCTCAATTCTCAGAGCTGAAATGTCTCCATGTTACTGAAGCGCAGAACCAAATTTAAAGCTTTCGTGACTGCAGGGATTCATCTTCTTGGTTCTTTCGGTAAAGTCACGTAGAAGGGAAATAATTAAATAATAAAAATAAAACACCTGAGGACGGCTGCTTGCGTTGTAGCCGAAACGTCGTGATAATTATTTTATTATGTTTTATTTTTATTATTTTATTATTTCCCTTCTACGTGACTTTACCGAAAGAACCAAGAAGATGAAATTTAACAAGTTTAACACGTACACTTTCGCGACCAATATTATTCACAATAAAGGTTTTTGGGTTAGATCGCGTAAGTAGTGCAGCCTGGAAACGTCTTATTAAGTAAGACATCTTACAATTATAATTATTTATAGAGGAAACACATACTAATTAACTAATTACTAACGTATATAATTACAATAGCACCCCCCCTCTCCTCCGCCTCTGTTCTCTGCACCTGATGGGTTTAGGTGATGACGTCATGCTGCTGCTCTATTTAAGACCGGAAGCACGTGGGTTGCTTCACTATTCTGGCAAATCGCCCGATGATGCTGGTTGTAATTACCAGCAAAACGTCGCACTACTTAAAGTTAAAATGTTGTGGATTTACTGTCCAACACACTGGTGGGCTGAAGTAGTAACTAATTGGCGCGTTATTTACGTGACAAACCTGAATGGCTGTGTCGGGTGGTGGAGGGTTACGACACATTTATACTTACTCAATCTAACTCAAAAACCTTTATTATGAAAAAATTAACAAGCTGTAGTATTTTTGTGCAGTTGTTGGTGACTGCGCTGAGGAAATCAAGTCACTCCACTTAGTCTATAATTATTTTTTATTACTTTACTTGTTTATCGAGGAATTCCTCACTGAATCTCACCTCTTTTTCAAGAGGGTCCTGCCAAGCTGTCGCAGTAGAGTGGCGACGTTGCTGCTGCTGCTATGTGTGATCCCAACTGAATCATTCGCTGGTTAATTTTCGGCTATGAGATGTTTGGCCAAAACTAGTTACGTTGTATGTTTTTTTTTTAGCTCTGGAAGAAAACTGAAGGACCCAGAGAAAGCCCATACAGAACAGGGAGAGAACATACAATCGTCACACATCAATAATTTACAATTCATTTTTTTAAACAAAATATTGGTTGCGAAAGCCTGAATCCAAACAGAAAGGCGACTGAGTCAGGAATCGATCGCAGGCCCTGTTTGCTGTGAGGCACAATTGTTACCACTACGCCATCCTGCCACCGAATGCTTTCTGCATTTTCAACCAGTTCCCTATTCCCTATGTAACCACGCTTGTGTAACGTAGACTTGTTCTGTATAACGTCTGTACCATCGCAAGAAGCCAATGAAATGGAGCCTAGCACCTCATATGATCTAATCTACCTAATTCCAGGTGGCTGAAACCTCGATTCGAACCCACGTTTTTTTTTGCAGTTTTGGCTCAGCGCTCTGAGTGAGCCACCCAGCCAGGCTACTTGCTGCCTGAGCCATTCTCAAAGTGGTCGCTGCGAGAGCACACGGTGAGCCGAAAGTCCTTGCACAATCACGAACCGCGGCTCGGGCTTGATGTGTCTTCCTGGACAGCAGCGTGCTGAGTGGAACAGACGGTGTTCTGTACGGGGACCATTTGCGCCTCGCGAGCAAAGGCTGTCGACCTGCTGCTTGATATTCTCTCAAGGTTTTAGCTTTTTTAGCTGGCTCGAGGCCTTCAGTTTATTTTCGGCCTTTTGTGCTGGAGGTATCCAGCAGCATGGGTTGTATAGCCATTTGACGTGGAACGAGGATCTTTTGGGATAGGCGAGTTTAGTGGAGAGGTATTGGATAGATTCGGCCCCCCGCCGTACGAAATTTGTAATGTTCACCACTCGCTCAGGGTTGTGAAGGGGAGTGAACCACCACCTCGATGTTAATTTGAACAGGAAATCACTTTGCGATTGCTTTTTATATGTTCCTCATTTATTTATCCCGATTGTGAAATCGGCGTTGTGATATCGAGATGTTAAATACCTCGCCTGATATACAGGAGGTAGTGGGTTCGATCCCGACCCTGATACCTGTATATGTAAAGTGTGCTTGTTCTCGCCGTGGTCGCATAGATTTGTCGCCAGGTCTTCCGGTTTTCCCTCCACATTTAGAAACGACATGCGTTTAGAGTATGTGGCTGCTATACGTTTCTACGTGAAAAGCCACTTCGTTGAGCTATCTTGTTTGACCAGGTCGCTTCTGAAAAAGAGCTACATATCTAAGTGGGGCGTTAGCCGGTAAAATACAAATTGTTTAGTTTAGACAGCATGTCATGAGATACAGTGTCCATGCGGAAACTTCGACACAGCAGTGCATCACTCCATGTTAGCGATAGGCCCACAGAAGCAGACACCACAGAGCTACATTAGAGATCCCTTCACGTGACCTCTGGTGCACACAGTCGGGGCAAGCACTTTCCCACTCGACCTGCCACTGAGAGCATATTGTTCACCGCGTGACAGTCAAACCAATATTTAAGTTGTCAGAGATGGAATTTAACCAAACATTAAGTGCAGCACCAAATTTAGCGTGACAGGGGTTTGTGTGTCTGTGTCTTTTCACTCATCCGGTGAGCGAGCTGAGGCAATCGACTCACTAGAATTGGGAACGAAGCCAGATTAATCACGGGTGGCTGCTGAAACCCGGATTCAAACCCCAGGCTCTCAGCGGTGTCAGCTCAGCGCTCTGACCTCCGAGGCACGCGGTCACCTCTGAATCCACTAAACCTTTAAGAGAAGGCGTAGTGTGAGGCAGTGTTCTCAACGCTCCGTGCACCAGGAGACAGGAATGCGAAGGATCGCGGTGATAACTGTGGCAGTGTTCCCTTGGCCAAATGTTTTATTTATTTGCTATCACTGCACACTACCACTTTTTTAGATTCTTTTTTTTTTATATGGGCATCGTGTAAACACCACGTTGTACGTAAATGGCAATCGATGCGAGCCATGTGGTTGCCGTGATAAACACATTGTTGAATTTTTTAAAAAAAATACAAGTTAAACTTGGAAAATGCATGCAGTGATCATGGGGGGGGGGGGCTGCTTTTGATTTCAATTCGAGACCACAAATTTACCGTCCCTCCCAGGGCGATTTTTGGACATTTTATGTTTTTAGAACTTTCGCCTGACAGAGGTACATTGACATATAATTGGGGTCAACAGGTCATGTGCCCAAAATAAAATGTGCACAAATAGCTTGCAGATAAGCTATTCAACGGGAGAATTGAACTGATTCATCCTTTGTATAGCTCCTGGAGGATGCTGCTGCCACGGTGGTGGTGTAGCGGTTAGGAGCC